ATTTAAAAAAAAAAAATCAAAATCTCACAATAAAATAGTAGCGGTATGGGGAAAAAAAGAGAATGAAGCCAAGGCTAGAGAGCAAAGTAGGAGAGAGAACAGATGCCTTCCCTACTTCAAAAAGGTTGTGATTTTCAATAAATTCATTTAAACCACTACAAAAAGCTGAACACACAGTTATTTTAGGTTAGCTGACTTTATCAGAAATCTCTTTAAGCAAAACAAGAAATACTTTAGCACTGAAAACATCAAGAAAAGGTAACAGTTTGGTTTATTTTCTTTATCATATATATATATATATATATATATATATATATATATAGGAATTGCTGTCCTGAGTCAGCACCCTATTTCTGATGATGAATAAAGCAGATAAATATAGCAGAGCAGAAATACAGGACAATTACAAAGGAATACTTTCTAGGCACAGTCTATATACCAATGCAGCAATCTGCAAATCAGGATTTCTTCAGCCAAGGGCAGTGTCTTTACATTAAAGTTACAATTTTCATGCATTAATGTCAGGGCATTTTGAACCCCAAATTGTCTGACTCTGCTACGTTCTAAGGCACGAGTTCTGCAAGTTAATCATGCAAAGAACCAGCTCTTTTTATTTTTGAACCGTCAGCTGACAACTTAACCTGACAGCCTGTAATTCTTGTCTTGAAATATCTAATGACTGGGCTTTCCCTATTCGTCTTCCTCAAAACACCAATATATTTCTAGGCTTCACCCATATCCTCCCGTGCCAGCCTTCTATTTTTCAGGCTCCCTCATTGCTCCTAACAGGGAAGGAGTTCCACAGTTCTAGTCATCCTTTCTTTTTTCTGTTTTTTGTGTATTATTTTAGATCAGAAAACAGCACATATAATAGGGATGGAAAACCAATATTGCTTTATACATGTTCTTTACTCCAGCTCTAATTCCTAACACAGTTTCTGTGCAGTTTTTGGTGGGTCGTTTTCAGAAAATTTGAACACGGAGGAAAGATAAAGAAACCTGGACAAGGACATCAACTACCAGCTTATGGAGGCAGGGAAACTGAGGGAACAGTAAGGACGTTCTAATTCAGTCATTTACCATCCAAGCAACGAGCTAAAGAGCACTAAAATTCAGGCAGTCAATCTGAAGGAACTGTACCAGAATTAGTTCCAGAAAAAGCAGAAAGACTACAATGTCTCTGAAAACAATTTTGCTGGAGACACACTAAGGCCAGCAAAGCCATCTAGCCTTTGCTGGACCTTTGAAAGGAGGAGAAACAGAAATATACATCAGCTTTTGCAACCATTATATTTTGCTCTGGAGCAGACAATTTTAATTGATGTTCGAGTTGAAAAGACGGCAGTCAAGATGTTCCAATCCTGAAATACTTCTGTAATATTTTCTTGGATGTCCCTTCCACAAACTAGCAGTTTAAATGAGTTTATCTTAGGCCACAGTCTCTGTAATAGCAGCAGTCTGTTCAGTTCCAAAGAGTAGCTGCTTTATTGCAAGGCTGAAGGTTTTGCTCTATCCTATTCTACACTAAAATACAGAATACTGCTTGGAAATATCTAAACAAAATCATCTGAAATCATAGAATGGTTTGGGTTGGAAGGGACCTCAAAGATCATCTAGTTCCAACCTCCCTGCCATGGGCAGAGACACCCTCCACTACACCAGGTTGCTCAAAGCCTCATCCAACCTGGCCTTGAACACTGCCAGGGATGGGGCAGCCACAGCTTCTCTGGGCAACCTGTTCCAGTGCCTCACCACCCTCAGAGTGAAAAATTTCTTCCTTAGATCCAATCTAAATCATCGCTCTTTCAGTTTAAAGTCATTGCCCCTTGTCCTGTCACTACACGCCCTTGTAAAAGACAGCACAACCAGCACAACAATACTACTTAACATCTCACAGTTCCACCATTCAGACATGTAACCTATCCATAGTCCACAGGCTCTGCTCTGTGTGGACTTTCAAGTTCCCCAAACACAAAAGGTATCAGTGCAGATGAAAGAAAATCAAAAAGTTAAGTATTCATCATGACTGTCCGGATTTTTCCGCCAATTATGCAATTGGAGGACAATCCGGGAGAGATGTCCAAATAAGCATCAGGTGAACGTTTGGATGACAGATGGACAGAAGTCAAGCCAGTAGCCATCTTATCTGCAGTCAGGTTTAAGAGGTTATCCCAGTAGATGTTGCCATATGTCCCAGACAAGGGACACATTTACTAACACACGTACTGAACAGCTACATACTGAGTGTTTTCAAGGTCTAGGCATGGTTCAGGAGGGATGCTCTGAGTGCGTGGAGTCCAGCCACCTTCTAGGTCAGCACATACAGTGTGAACGCACATATAAATATTAATCAAAAGATAATTTGAGGTTTGCTTTTATAAGAGGAAATAGCTAGTTCAGAGTAAAGAGTTAAAAAGTTATGATACTTCCTGTAGTTACACGAGATTGAATGCTGCCTGAACACACTGAGGCTTCCCCTGCCCCAATTTAAGTCTGAATTCTTCCCAATTCACCCAATTTAAGGTGAATCATGTTCAAACCTCTCATGAAAAGCACTGGAACTGTCTCAGAGTTTGACATCACTGACTACACACAGACCACATATTTTCTTTTGAACAAAGCTAGTCTCTGCTCTTTAAAATTACCCTTGAAATCAAGTTTAAAGAGCAATACAATAGTGACCACTTCATGTTACAAGCCTGTGATGAGTGAACTGACTGATCCATCCGTACAGGAGATTAATTCAAACGACCCACCACGATTACTCAATTGCTGACACACAATCATTTATTGATGTGACAGGCGATCGGAAAGTTGTTTGGATTCAGCACAGAAGGTACTTAAAAATGGACTGATCCCCACTCTCCAGCATGATTAAAAATGGAACAGAGTCCTGAGATATCTGTCTCACCACGGAGATTCCACGCTTGGCACGTGGTTCCTGAGCTTAATCACTCTCATAGAATCATAGAATCGTTAGGGCTGGAAGGGACCTTCAAAGGCCATCTAGTCCAACCCCCCTGCAAGGAACAGGGATATCTCCAACTAGATCAGGTTGCTCAGGGCCTCATCATTAATTTTATTTTTCTTTTGTATTCGCTCAGAGTTTTCTCTGTTGCAACCTGTGTCCGTTGCCTTTGTCCTTTCACTGAACACTTCTGTCTCTGCCTTTTCTGGCACACCTGGCATTTGGACTTCGCAGCTTGCCAGGCCCTTTCCCCACCTCAACACATCAGAGAACAAACTTGCTCCATCGGTAGACGAGAGAGCCACCAAGGAAATCTTAGTCCTAAACACCAATCACAGCAAGTCGTAACAATTCCAGAGCTGCTACTGCATGAGGAAACACGGGAGCAATTCTCAGATGTATTCACCTCCGTGCTTTCTTTATGATGAAGCAGCATTAGTGGGTTATAGATGCAGCTCTTCTACAGCCTCAACTCTTTCAAGTTTTTCGGATAGCATAGGCAGAACAGGACACCATAGCTGGGAGTCAAGATAAATTTTGAAATTTTAATCTTCAGGGATTGCAGACCAAAAAGTTTTTATGTAAAAAAAACCTGTCCAGCAACAGAACACACTTTGAACTGAATTCTTTCTTGGGGATTTCTTTAAGTAGAAAACTGTGCAAAGCACCCACGGTTTAACTCCTGATCATGTGACAAAAGGTTTTCTAAACAGCTTTTCCTTGTAATCTCTTTATAATCTCTTAGTCCAGCTTCTTGGTCCTCCTACACAATACAAAAAGCTACTTGTGGAAATTTAAAACACCCCCTCAATGCCCTTTGGTCTCTCACAATCACAGGTGAGGATACGTCAACTCTGCAGGCTGGATTTCAAAACTGGATAAGCAATTTGGCTTTTTATGAAAAAAACCAAATCCACACACAACACTGAAGATGCTGTAGAGTCGACACCCTGAAAATACGGGGTCTCTCTTCCCATGTCAGGATTTAGAAATAACTGAAAATACAACAGATATAACTGAGTAGGATGCTGATCCTCGTTTGTGGTAAACACTGAGCTTTTTTTAAACTTAAAATCTTTTTTTTTTTTTGTTGAATTTAATGACCACAGTTAACTGTAAGGCAGCAAAAGAACACTACCTGGACATTCTAGCCTCCCTGGATAATGTACCTACCTAAAGTGTAAAAAAAAAAAACAACCCCAAAACCAAAAACCAAACACCCAGAAAAGCAAGATACTGATTTTTACATGCAACTCATACACTCAGTTCCAGACAACTGCTTTCCAATACATATGCTAGGGGTCTGTTTATTCTACTTCTATGAAGTAGTCACAGTATCCTCGTCTTCGTTCACGCCAGAAGAATATAAACTGTACTGTTGTAGTGTGTACAATGCATTAATTCAGGCTTAAGGCATCTTTTCTCTCCATGTCCAGAGGAACAGGGCACATCTGCCACAGTATCTGCCCAAAATCACAGATAAACCCAGTATGTGATGAGATTGTAATAACGTGACTGGAAGGAGGTCACCTACCTTTCTGCTTCATTATGACCTCAAAAATTCTTTTTGCTCTCAATTAATCTGACCATTTGGAGGAATGGACACGGCAGGTAAAAAAAGCCTTTGCTGGCGGCAAAGATACCTACCCTACACAAAGGCCAGTGAACCCACTGGTAAAACTGCTTCTCTGTTACAGAATCAACGTGAGGGTGACAAAGAGGGACAGACAAAGCAGGTGACATCTACCCTGAGATGACTCCTACGGCAGTAACAGCACGGGCAGCCTCTTACCTGAGCTGGTAAGCACACTCAGGGGACTGCTGGAGGAGGTGAGCGCAGCGGTTCCGCTCGGGGTACTCTGTGCTGCGCTGGCCGCAGCTGCTAGTGCAGCCAGGTTCTGTAACTGCATGGCGTTCAGACCTGCAACACACGGAAGAATGTACAGTTTCTCCTATAACAAGTCACCATCATCCAAGCTTAACAGATCCAACAACCTCAGCACATCACAAGGGAATAATGGGAAGGAGCTTAAAAACGACAGGCTCAGCACTAGTTGCTGATCTTTTCTACATTGCCATTCTTCATTATAATGAAAAATAGAAGTTTTTCTCTGCCCAGATAGGTGAGTTTTGGTAAAAGACCAGGAAGTTGTGATCCCAGATGTAGCCTCCTGAGTACAGAAGTGTTCAAGCAGTGTTCTCTTCAGTCACAAAAGCAGAGCAGCTTTAGCTGGGAGTAAAGCCAGCATCTGACAGCTCATCTGCACCTAGAGAACTTGCCTGGACACCAGGCCAATAACCCTCTTCTCTTGTGCCCCTCCGCTCCCTCTGCACGGGAACAGCAATAACTGCAGAGTTCTTTCAAGAGGACCTACACACCACAGCGGCCACAACATCACACCTTTAACCCACCAGCAGCTGAGTATCAGCACGTTTTGGTTGGTGCCCTTAGCAGTCAAGAAGCGATGAGATAATATGAAGTGGCAACTCCTGACCACAAGACCAGCCAATGTACAGGTAAGCTGGGCAGCTGGTCAAACAACAGAGGGAAGGAAAACAGGAAAGATCAGGAATGTTGTGGGTAAGCAGCCAGGAATACTGCAGGGGGAGGAAGGTGTCCCTGTGCTGATGAACTTTTACTGGTCAATCTACTCATCTGACTCACCTTAATTTTGTGTCATAATTTTTGAATTAAACCATTTGGTCAGTGCTGACACTGTGGTCTGCCCTCTTTTCCTGCCATGGTATTAACATTGATACCCATCTTCTGAATTCTGTACTTCAGCCATCCTTTGGTAGGCTAGCTCTGTTCTTCCAATTCTGCTTCTCTTCCCTTTTCCCTCATTGCCCTTTGTCTCCACCTTTGCTTATTCTAACAATTCCTCCTCTTTTCAGCTAACTTCAGACAATCCCTAGTAATTCTTCCCTACAAAATTAAAACCAAAGTTAAATTAATCACCATTCATATAACACCACCAAAACGTCCCAGGCAGATGTGGCACCTCATCTTTTGGATGCTTAGTAAGTACTTGGTGCCAAAGCACGCATCTCACATAACTAAAAGCTCAGTTTTGTAATTTAAGTATGTAAACAGACAACATAAGAATGTAAGTGACAATGTAGTATAAACTATTTATTTTCTAAAAAACTTCTACTACCTTTACCATAGTTCATTTAGTTTTTTTAATCTTTTTCAATTGTTTTCTCTTTGCGACAGGGTCTGTTTCCTTAACCACATTCAGTGCCTGAAGCAAGAGGATTCTGCCTTTATTTAGATTCTCAAGGTGCTGTTGTAACATAAAAGCATGAAGTTAAAACCAAAAAGTTGGATTTTTTTGGTTTTGTTGTGCTACAGAGGGTTAAATGTGCAAGTGTTAGAGCTCATGAAGAACAGAGCAGCTTGCTTCCTTTCTGAAGCAGTTTGGCATGTGCACACTGCACCTGTTCTCTTGCCATCACATTGTTTTCCCATCTGTTTTCAAACAGAGTGAAGATTAAATTTTGTCTACAAAGTCTGATATAGTTTGGGATCTAATCGCCTACTTAATTTTTCTTTCTATGAATTTCAAGAAAGGAGATCAGCTGAGATATTAGCAGGACTTTGAAACTAAAACTTTTTCTGTGAAGAATCACAGACTTGGAATAATTCTTTCAAAACACCATGCAACATACTGTTTATATCTCCAAGTTCTCAATTTTTAAGGTGTTTTCAAAATAAGTGTGTTTCAAGGTGTTTTCAAAATAAGTGTGTTTCAAGGTGTTTTCAAAATAAGTGTGTTTCAAGGTGTTTTCAAAATAAGTGTGTTTCAAGGTGTTTTTAAATAGTGAAGACAGAATTACCTTGGAAGCTTCACAACCAACCTCAGCTCGTTAGCCCCTTTCCCAGTCTTTACTGTAGTGACAATTAACGTGAACTGCTGTAGTGTTTTTCTCCTTTATTACCACTTGCTTTTAAACAGACAAGAGGGAGGAAAAACAGTACCATGCACATAAAAAAATCTCTTCTAGATCACCACCAGGCAGGATATTAGTGAAACTGATTTCAAAACAATTGCTTTTGGAAAGAGTCTTAGACCTAAGAACTCTGAAGGGGTAAAAAAGTAAACAGAAGCAGCTAAAGTTAGAATCCATTTCAAGTATAAATCAAAGTTCTTATCATCAAAAACTTTGCAAAAAGCTTGTAATTGTTACTGATAGGTGTACCAACACAAGTCAGATGTACAAAGACACTTGACTTTCTTAACACCTTTAGCTCAACCTGTGCACAGACAGGGCATGTAATATTGTGAACGGCCAAACAACTCCAGGAGGCAATTTTAAAAGCTTAAAACATTCAGTATTAAAACCAAACCTACAGCTTTTCTGCCAGCAGCAGAATTTAGAGTATGTGCTGAATAGTTACTAACGTGTTTTATTATCCCCCACCCTGTGAAGACAGGAGGAACAACCAGTTTTCAGCCCCAGTGCTGCTACACTTGGTGAACGTTCTGACTAGCGGTCCACAGCAAGGAATTTGGCTTGTACCTGTTAAGCTGATATTCCTCTAACAGCAATGGCATAATCAATTGTAACTCAAACAAAAGAATTAAAAAACTTGAATGAAGGATTAGTTCACATTCCCACCAACGTTGCGTTTTCAACTTCGATGTATTTAAGAACAAAGAATTTAAAATGGGAAACCCAAGAATCCATTGTCACTTAAACACGTGCATTAGTGCTTACTTCAAAACACAACGCTTCACCTGTGCACCTGTTTGGATGAAAACCCCCACACAGAGTTGGGGTTTGTACCCATAAGAAAGGTGATTTTCAACACCAGAGGTAGGGGAGATTACCAGCACACCACAACTTACCTTGGGGACAAGGCTTAACTAAGACTAAGGAACATCCACACTTGTAGCAGAGGATTCCTGTCATTCCAAAGGAGTGGGTAAACTCAGGACCACTTATTTCAAATGTGTTAATGTGTCTACAGCCTTTTGGCTGCTTTCTCTACCCTCCTCTTTTCTTTGGCACTGAATTTGTCTTCTGGTGGAAAAAAAAACTCACCTCCCATTGGGTGGAGGCTGCTCAACGTGTTCAGGTTCCCAGATGATGCAGCTGCTGTCTGCTGAAGGAGCTGCAAATAAAGCTAGACATTACACCAAAAAACAAAACAAGAGTGAGAGTGAGGGCTGGCTCCGCTTCTGGGAGAAACTGCATCACACCACAGCCAGAGCGCCGTCACAGAGGAGACTCCCACTGCCCGTGCGGCACACCGTAGCAAAGCGTCCAGAGAATTCCCAGAGCACAGCCAGAGCGCCGCCGCGGTGAAAACCACGCTGCCCATGCATGGCATCGCAGCCAAAGCCACGGCACGATGCGTTCCTCACTCAACGTAAGCAATGCTGAAGGAAGTTTAGAGCTGATATACTGAGACAAAGCCAGCAGAATCCATAGGGAGAAAGAACCCCTACTCAAAGCACCTCGGGCAGGACTGCCACCCCGAAGGACGCGCTAGCTCAAGCCAAACTTTACGGCTGACGCCGCCAGCACAGGACAAATGGCAAATGCCATACCAAAACCCAAGAGTCATCATGAGAGGGAACCCCCTCCACTTTCCTTAAGCACAGCAGCCACAAGAGAAATTCCAAGCCTCAGCTTAAAAGCTATTTAGAGGGATTTCCTATTCCTTAACTAGGTGGTGTTACAGAAAATTCCAATCGACCAAATCTAAGGCAGTAGTAGAAGACAGAATATCCCTACTTCAACAGCACATCATACCAAGACCAAGAATGAAATGAAATTTTCCCTTTCTCTTCCCCAGACCTTATACTGCATCAATACAGTTCTCATAGCTACTCTGGCAACCCACAGGAGCCAGAGCACATCAGTTTATGAAAAGTTCCCCCTTTAGGGACCCAGCAAAATCAACTAAAATCAGTGACAGCAGGCTACCTTCTGTTGTGTAATTTTTGTTAAATAAAGTAGTTTCTCTGTATTTTCTGTGTGGGTTTGTTGTTGGTGGTTTTTTTTTTTCTGTTTCTTTTTTGTTTTTTACTGTGCACTGTCAACTGCTTGGTGCTTCCAACCTGATGACCTTTTCTATTTGGACAGCACCAAGTACTTTTCTGGGTTTCACTGAAAGGGGATGAGAGAAATAAAGGCTGAAAAAGGAAAAATGGAAGAGGAATACAAGAACTACATCATCAGCTAGACAGGAAATGGGCATTTGTATGGGTAAACATTGAGGCCATAACATACGAAGAAAATCTTCCCAGCACAAAGTCATTCTACAGAAATGGGGGAAATAAAAAAAGTTTCACTAGTTAGGGCTACAGTGACTGGGGTTGAAATCCTCACTTAAATGTATCCTGATAACTTAATTTCAGCCTCCTCACCCACAAAATGGGGATTAAGAACTCTGCTCCTCTCTATCAGTAGCCTTCTAAAAACGAATACATTAAACACTACAAGACAGTCAGACACTGTGACCCCCGAAGAGATGAAAAGAACCCAAATCAGAAACTCACTGCTAAGTACTGGGGTCCAAGTGTGTTGAGACCAGCCAGGTTTCCCCATACTGAGGCAGCACTGATCTGTTGCATTTGTTGCTGGAGTTGCTGAGCAATTCGTTTCTGCTCTTTGTCCTTCTGCGTGTCTGCAAATTTTACCACAATGGGAGAAGAGCAGCCCTGCAAACAGCAATTCAAACAATTATATACTTGCTATCCCCAGCAGTCAGAAAAATACTGCATTAAGACCCAGTCACTGGAAGCATTCCCGTCCCCCCACATGCATACATACATATTTATTTATTTCCCCCCCAAACAGCATGTTTCATTAAAGGTTCACAATCTCATTTGCTTTTCATTCTACTTTGTATTTTAGTATTTTCTCTGCAGGTGAAGTTTCTACCTCGAGCTCTAAAAATAGGAGCAGAACAAACACAAAGGTCCAGGAACACTATTTGTGAAGAAACACACGCTGCACTTCACTTCTGTGCTCTCTAGCCCTTCAAACTCCATAGTGACCACCTGACAAATTACATCATCTCCTGATGCCCAGTAACTTGTTTTACCTCCATGGTTTGTGCTTGGTGCATTGCTTTGATTGCTGTTTGTGCCATGGCTCTTGTTGTAAAAGTCACAAATGCACAACCTGGGGAAACAACAAAAAGGAACCAAGTAATTCATTACCTCCAGAAACGAAAATGTCTTCTGGGGGCAGGGGGAGGATGACACAAAACACAGACAACTGGAAGAGTCACAGAAAGAGCTGAAATGCCACCCTGAGTTGTAAAAGGCAGCATCCAGTGGAGAACCTTGAACTGTTGGAAAAGCCTCCTGCTTACCTCGGCTCAGGCCGTCCGGGCCCCGCAATATCCTGCATTCTTCAATCTGCCCAAAGGGGGAGAACATCACTCGGATATCGTTTTCATTGCACTTCTTGGATATCATTCCAATAAACAACTTCCTGTCTTCTACTGCTAAGAAACCAAAGGATAAGAGTATTACCAGCCAATACGTGCTTACTTATTTTGTCAAACCATCTCCATCAACAGCAGTTATTTCCCTTGTGTTTAGAGTAGGGGTTTGTCAAAACCAGATTCCCAATAATGGAATCTCTTCAGTTTAAGAGGATGCATACAAGACACCTCACCAAACCTGAAGGATGCCTGTTTTATAGAATCATAGAATGGTTTGGATTGAAAGGGACCTCAAAGATCATCTAGTTCCAATCCCCCTGCCATGGGCAGGGACACCCTCCACTACACCAGGTTGCTCAAAGCCTCATCCAGCCTGGCCTTGAACACATCCAGGGACAGGGCAGCCACAGCTTCTCTGGGCAACCTGTGCCCGTGCCTCACCACCCTTATGATGTTTCATGTTTACATTTTGCTGACTGTTTCTCCCTTGCAAGCCTGTGAACTGCAAGAATGTAAGAAAAGAAAAAATCACATCAGATTCAGCACTTCCCTATATCTCCTACATTCAGTTCCTGGTGAATGAGAGAAGACTTCTATGGATTTTATTGGACTATTTTAATTCTCTCTCCTCTGTCTCTTCTATCTTTAGATTACCAACATACCTATCTAAACAAGTAAGCAAGCTGCAAAAAACCTTCTTTCTAGCCTGTTTATCACATCAATCACTTCGATTTACATCTGCCTACTTTCTCAAGCTCCTGTCTCAACAGTGGAGGCAGCAGCAGTTGCTAAAACAGAACAGTTCCCATCCTGTTTCAGATTTGTGCATTCTGGTCTGTATCAAAAGCATGACAGTAACACTCCAGATCACACCAATGGACTGCGTGCCACTGGATCTTGCCTCTAAACGCTGACACTATTAAGTACAAGAGAGCTGAAGAACACCTTTCAGACTATTTTAAAAATCAAAGGTTCAGAAAGGCATTTCTCTTAACTCTTTGGTTAATGGTTACTACCCTCAATTTAAGGTCACTTAAGGGCGTGGGGTAAACTCGAATCCAGAGCAGAACTTTACACCTCTCCTTTTTCTTATTTAAGGATGCTAATTACCTCCTTGCTTTTAAAGGATGAAGCAATATGCAGAATAACACATGGAAATAAAAAACAGTTTGCAAATACAACATTCAGCACAACATAAGATACAGCATGACAAAGGCTGCAGCACAATTTGAAGCTTCAAGAGAGAAGTCTGCTCCTATTTCCTGCTGTGCTGAGGGGAAATCAACTTATTTGTTGAGTCTTCCATGGTGATGAAGAGGAAAACTCCAAACTATTCCAGATGATATGACTTTAACTGATTAAATATTAATGTTGTACCCAGTTCACTATCAAGCTCTTAGAGCAGAAAGCTGCTCTCAAATCCTTTGCACAGTTCATTTTAGTTCAAGAGATCCAGAATTCCTTTTATTGCCAACTTAAAACACTTTTTTTGATGCTTTCTTATTTATATTTTCACCCACACCTTTTACTAAAACTCATATCATTATAAAATAGCCTCAGAACTGTCAACCTAAAGTTCTATTAAATATTTTTTTTCCTCTTTTCATTATTTTCCAGGATATTTGTGTGTGTGTGTGACAAAAGATCGATTTTAGTTTAGAGAACCTATTCTGTTCTCCCAACCACACTTCAAAAGAATTACTCCTTTTTAGATATATTTACACAGAAACATATTTTGCAAACAAATGGAGGAATTTTCAGATGGAATTATTCCTACTATATGTAACCCATATCTCCCATCTTCTGTTCTCAATTAAGATACAAGCTTTCTGGAACCAGGATTATCTTCTCCATGATGCAACGCTAACCTTCCAGTACTATGGCAAATGAAGAAAATAAAATTCAGCCAAGCCTAGAAAAGCTGAAAGTACAAGATGCTGAACACTTTCTTTGCTTATCTTGCAGCAACATACATAGACACACACACATTTGAGCACGTATATGTGTACGTATATAAATTCATGAAGGAAATGCCTGGGTAAACAATCATTTACCTAATGGCAGATGCTAAATGTTTCCATCCATCTGAAATGGTCAATGCACAGAAATATTCACCAGTCCTTCTCTACTGAACTGTTGTGAATTCTCCCTTGTACACTACAAGTTTTGACTCCCATCCTAGCTGCAACAGGCCTTGCTTCGAATTAGTCAAGCACTTGAAAAAGCATTTCTAGATTTCATAGAATAGCTTAGATTGAAAAGGTCCTCAAAGATCATCTAGTTCCAACCCCCCTGCCATGGGCAGGGACACCCTCCACTACACCAGGTTGCTCAAAGCCTCATCCAACCTGGCCTTGAACACTTCCAGCGATGAGGCATCTACCACTTCTCTGGGCAACCTGTTCCAGTGCCTCATCACCCTCTGAGTGAAAAGTTTCTTCCTTCTATCCAATCTAAATCTACCCTCTTTCAGTTTAAAGTCATTGCCCCTCGTCTTATCACTACACGTCCTGATAAAGAAGCCCTTCTCATCTTTTTTGCAGGCCCCCTTTGGGTACTGGAAGGCTGCTATAAGGTCTCCCTGAAGCCTTCTCTTCTCCAGGCTGAACAGCCCCAACTCTCTCAGCCTGTCTCCAGAGCAGAGGTGCTTTAGCCCCCTGATCATCTTCGTGGCCTCCTCTGGACTCACTCCAGCAGCTCCATGTCCTTCTTGTGCTGGGGGCCTCATTGCTGAACGCAGCACTACAGGGAGGGTCTCACAAGAGCAGAGCAGAGGGGCAGAATCCCCTCGTTTGACCTGCTGGCCATGCTTCTTCGGATGCAGCCCAGGATGTAAGTGGCTTTCTGGGCTGCAAGTGCACGTTACCAGCTTATATTCAGTTTTTCATCCATCAATACCCCCAAGTCCTTCTCCACAGGACTGCTCTCAATCCTATCATCCCCCAGCCTGTATCCATGTTTGGGATTGCCCTGACCCATGTGCAGGACCTTGCACTTGGCCTTGTTAAACATCAAGGTTCTCACAGGCCCACCTCTCCAGCCTGTCCAGGTCCCTCTGGATGGCATCCCTTCCCTCCAGGGTATCAACCACAGCACTCAGCTTGGTGTCATCTGCCCACTTGCTGAGGGTGCATCGATCCCACTGTCCCTGTCCCCAACAAAGATTTAAACCACCTTAGTACAAAGAAGAACTCACTGGATGTTTCCCTAACTGACAACATGGTTCTACCGCAAGCAGCAGCAGCGGGAGATACTGAGTCATGGAATTTTAGAGACATCACTTACACTACCTACTAAATTCAAAACACATTTTTCTTCCTTTTTCTTTCCTGTTTAAAAAATATCAGGTGTCCAATTCAAGAAGACTTCATCAGAAACTGTTCAATCAAAGGAAAACTGAATTTATCCCTGTTCCTTGCAGGGGGGTTGGACTAGATGACCTTTGAAGGTCCCTTCCAGCCCTAACCATTCTATGATTCTATGATTCTAAAAATCCTCAAGCTTCCCTATTAGCACAAACGATGGCACCGAACTCAGACTTTAGTAAAGCTTACCATTACTCTTTTCACTGTCAGCTGGTTTCATCTGGATAGGATGGTGCATCTGAAATGTAAAGAGATTATTTAATCCTAGATGCATTCGCTTTATCCTGTATGAAACACACCCCATGAGAATTGTGGAAGAAAGAAATGGCAGCCTAAATTGTCTCTACAGAAGTGCATACCTAACACCACACACATTTCTAGAGGAAAGAAAAGCTTTCCTAATGATATGCCATCATCCCTCCTCAGAGAGTATTACAGGAGCCATACCCACCCACTTCACTATCATATTATTCTCCCAAATGTTCCAAAATTCCCTTAAGATCTGTTATCACACAAGTCTCATGGCATCGCTCTTTTGAGTAGTTCTTTTAAAACATTCTTTGAGGGCAAGACAACAGATGTTTGTTCATCAGCGGTGCCAGAGCTCAGGAAAAGACGACAGAGTTGCGAAGAAAGCAAGGCTCTTCTCTTACCCCTGGGAGGATCTTCATGTTGTGAAGAGCATTCTGTGCTTCTAGTGCAGCTTTTCGGGTATAAAATGTAACAAAACAGCACCCTGCAATTGAAACACAACGGTAGGTGAGAAAACTACTATGAATCTTGAGGTGCTGCACAGCCATGGCAAGTCCCACCTCCATCCTTCCAATGCAAAACGCATGACGAGAGGTTAGATACTGAAAGAGGGAGGTACTACTGACTGTGGCTGCTTAAAAAAAGATTTCTAAATGTAACCAAATACGAATTCAGAACTGACCCAACATCACCAATGCATCACTGAAACAAACATTTAGATACCCAAATGTATCTACATTTAGCAGCCCAAATAATTGTGGGCTACTTCCATTATCATACTCGACAATTATTTGCTAGTACCAAAAACTTATCTGGTTTCCCAGGAATAAGATATTGCATGTAACTGAACTGCAAATCCAGGCCCAGCATTTAGTGAGGATTTGATGTGCACGAGGATTTGATGTGCACAAATGCCCAAGACCTCAATTATATCTGAAACTGTGACACTTTCAGCAATAATTTCATCGTATCATAGCGTCACAATGATGCTCTGGAGCAACACAATACTAATTTGATGTTTGGCTTTGCAATTATAATCCAGACTCTTCAAGCATCCCCATCACTTCTGAGCTCTAAAAAAAATGAGAGGTTTTCCTCAGCTCAGCTAATGACTGGATCACAGTCCAAGTATAATTAAACACACACACTTAAAAGACTATAATAAAGCCTGGGCTTGCACGCACACCTGGTCACGCAGAGCTCCAACACACAGGCATGTCTGAATAAGCAAACAGGTAAGACTAACTATGTGAAAGCAGCTGAGATCCCAAGTCTCACAAGAGAAGTACAGAAGTTCTCACCTTTGCTTTGAGGAGGGTTTTGGCTCCTGTCCCTCAAGACATTGATTTCATAGACAGCACCATACTGTTCAAAAAGTTCTCTTAGATCCTTCTCACACCAGCTCCGTGGGACCTGACCCACAAACATCTTGATAGCATCTAGATCAGGTTGGTCTGGGTGATCCAGTGTGCCATTCATTTTCTTTGAGCTATGAAAAACAAGGAGGAATTTCTGGTTTATATCTTTCCACAGATTCTAGCTGCTATTGCAGTTAAAAGAAGCACGCTTACAGTGAGATTAAAAAACCACAGTGTATTTCTACACATATAAAAATGTATATGATTAAAATATTCATATAAAGAGAGACTCTTGCACGTTCCCAGTCCTGCATATCAGAGAATATTCAGAAACATCATTCACAGTCATTGGCAAGCTGTTTACTTGGAAACCAACCACTGTTTCAAACTTTTTTTTAACATTAGTTCCTATAACGTAGTCAATATCTGGGATTCAGGACATAAATCTGTTGAGATGACTAAAAAATATCACCAGTGCAACTATGTAAAATTTTACAGAAAAGGAAACCAGAATAGGAAGGAACCTAAACTCAGTCTACCCACAGACAACTGAAGTTATCAGTAACCACTGAAAATGAGAGGATAACGTTTTTTTTGTTGTTTTAAAATGCGGCTACCTGGAACTAGACACTAGACACTAAACGAACAGATGAGAAGTTTTATTAAGTTTCATTAAAGGTTTACAAGGCAATAGCCGTGTGGAACTAGGGAGCTTTCAACAATATTTGGCAAAAAAACGGGTTTAGGTCGTACAGGAACAGGTTGGGATTGGACAATCTAGTTCATTGCAGGCTGAATCAAGTTGAGTAACGGCAAGGAGTTAGCATAGAACAACAAGTCACTTCTTAGGCTACACCACCACGGAAGTTCTGAGTATGGGAATCTTCAATAGGCTTCGAGGCGTTACATCCAGCCATACCAAGAGCACACAGCCTGTTAACAGAGCTGTGTTCTACCCTGCCCTGCCAGCTGAAAGTCATGCACTGCTTTCTGTATCGACTCCTCATCGTGTGCCAAGTGCAACATGAGGTCTCGTTAACGACAGTCACAGCCTGGCGTACCGCAGGACCCACCTCTGTGGAAGACTGACTATAACGACATCCTACTGTACCTAGAGTGATTAGTAGGTTAAAATTTCTGACAAGCCCTGTAGAGTCTAGAAAGAACATAGGGAGTGGAATAGTAACTCTACAGTGATCTCCCCCGCCCCCAAATTCTTTATTGAAGAATACAGGTGGCCTTCTTCCAGAGTAGTCAGCTCTCTTCATCTCTGCTTTCTTCCTTTAAAGACAGTTTTTGAATGGCTTATTAACTGAACGTTACAGTAAACAGTGTTCCTCTCACTGTCCATCTGCAATCATATTCCCCCCTGAATAGAATCCTAAAAAAAATAAAAGAAAATTTCCAAACCAGGTAATGTTTAGTTAATTTTTCCCCTCAATGCGCTGTTGTTCAGAACCTAAGGAAAAAATTATGCCTGGGAAAGCTCCTAATTTTATAGCTGTATGAACAGACCTCAGAAAAAACAAAGGTTCGTACTAGAAAGGAAGGGAATCACCATAAATCCTTTCACTCCTCTGTACCTTTCCACTCGGAAAGGGTCAGCACTTCTCCAAATAACCAAGGCAAACAATGTCTTTTACAAAGAGGTAAACTACCTCTTTTCACTCCAATTGAGCACAACTGGAAACTGTTTACCCTCTTCCAATAATAATTTTCAGCCCTGCCACAGCAGTAGTGATGGATAGCTTCAAGTGCACAGCATTGCTTCTGTTAACTGGGTAACTCTTAACGTGACCTCAACAGCATTCAAGGAATCTTTGATTCCCCATTAAAAGGTTTAGTCTGGAGTCATTAATAGGGAAGAATAGAAACAGATTCTCCCAACAATTGATTTAAATAACTAATTTTATAATATCAGCACCCGTAGCATACTATAAACAGTACTGCCAAATAGCTTTATTCCTCCTTAGCCCTCATTCCCAAAATTATCTGATTATTTCCCCCTATCCAGAATCCAACGTCAACTGCCAATCCACTAGGATTTCTTCAAGAAATCAGGCTCTCCTCTCTCTCTTCCCACCCTGCTCTCCCCCCTCAAGGAGAGTTCAGACAGCAGGGGCTTCAGAGACAGCGATCCCAACTATCGCCTTAGTTGTAAACTTGGACATGACGACAAAATACTTACACAGGGCTAGCATTCAAGGAGCAATGGTCCACCATCATCTCTGGGAGGAAATCCAACTTGAACGCAGCCATCACCTCAGTCTGTGACAAACTACTACCACTAAACCAGTGTATTGCCTAACCCCCCAACAACGCCACTTCCAAAAGTCCTGCAGGTCTTAACGCTCAGCCACACAAAAAACACTCAAACCACAGAACAGAGGCTCAGGGAGACCAGCAACAGACACCACAGAAACAGGCTGGACTGGGAAAGGGACATGGAATCCCAGATTAGAAAGGGGATGTGACCATGTGAAGGGAGGCTCAGCTTAATACACAATGAAAATGCTGATGCACTGGGCTTGTTTTGTGCGATTTTCCCTGGCGAAGCAGTACTGAGTGCACTGTCAGATAAACAGAGTGTCAGATCCATGAAGATAGCAATGGGTAACAGAGCAGAAAGAATACAAACTCCAGTCTTTCCATCCCCAACTAACTCCTTGCCTCCCAAAACGGCAGTCCAAGGCCTTGAGGTTCAGACAGACGCTCCCCATATCACCAAGATTAAGGTGTGAAGTCAGGAGGTTACTTCACCATAAACATTTTCCATGGCTGATCTCACTTTTTTCGCCTTGCGCTCTACTTGACACTCTCTTAACTTCTAGGGTGAAAAATGTCAACTGTTTCTCTGAACCTGCCAAAAAAAAAAAAATCAAAGCTAAAAAGACTGATTACTGAAAAATTGCTTAACTACCACAGAACATCAAAACCTATTCCTTTTATAGGAGCAAAACATACATTGTTCTAAAACGACACCTTGCCCATCATGCGTCCATAAATCCAGAGATATACAGAGCCTACAGATGATGAAGAAAGGGAAAAACACAGTGATTGACTGAAAACTGTTTTATAATCTCTGAAAACACTGGTCAGAATACCTCAGCCACTTCATCATTAAAACAGGAATAACATGTTGAGCAAAGAACCGTGAGGTGTATTTATACACACAACACAGACCTCTTGTTAAACCTCCAATACCCAAACTAGCGAAGAGATAATCCGGATAATATTGGATGCATTGGGAGCTGTAGAAATATTTGACTGCAGAGAACAAGCGCTGCAGAGGCAGCTGGCTGTGTCCAAGCACTCCAGAAGGGATGGTTAATTCAAGTCCAACACAAATCCAAATAAGTCTTGTGCATATGGCCAATACAACCACAAACCAAATTCTTAGAGCATCAAGGAGCGCACGCTGGGGCAGCTGGGATCACTTCTTTCTTCTCTGCCAATGACTGCAACATGTTCCTGCAGTTATTTGGAGTGGCCAGCACATACAGCTTGCTTTATGATTGCACAGTACAGCTTGCCAATTGTTTTCTCATAACTAACCGTTTCCAAACTCAAAAAAAAAAAAAAAAAAAGAGAACACTTCTGATCTCCTGCCTACAGTGAGGTTAATTAAAAGGTTATTAAAAGGAATTAGGCCTTGTAATACAAAGAGATATGCACCTTACTGCAAAAAAAGAGGACAGGAATTTAGCACACATTAGATACTCAACAGTAACTACTTTATGCATGCTCCTGCTAGGTGGTAAATGCAAGAAAGCTTAGGCACTAGGGAGCACAGGTCAATTTATTAGCTCTCAGCAAATTGTTCACACCTACCTTCAGGCACATCTCACAGGCTTCCTATTTGAGAAATGCCATGTTGTGTAAAACACATCATATTCAAACGTTAAATTGAGCCTGGAGCCCACGTTATGGATTTCTCTAAAATGAGTCCACAGAGAGAAACACTTCAGATTTGTATGATCAGGACAGCAGAAGATATGGTGGGGTTCTTGCCACTGCTCATATAAATCTGTAAGATCGACACCATAAATTCTGGTCCTACCTAGGAAGACCAGAATTCATTCCTCCTGGTCTTCCAGTCATCTTTAGCTTTTTTAAGCAGCCAGTAAAATACCCCAGTGGTCATGCTCCCTGTAGGTTTGATGAAAGATGATGTTGGCAACAGATACTCTAGAAAATGGATTTTAAGAAGGTTGCTGAGATTGATCGGTTTACTGAAAAAAAGTCACTGAGTCGTTATGATTCACCCTTTCTCTCATCTCCGTGCTCCTCAAAACAGAAGTCACAGTCTCTTGTTCCATTACAACAAAACTGCAACAAGTCACAGGTATTGTCCCAGTGTTACACTCCATGTCAAATCCAGTCTACTGGCTCTAATAATTAAAACCAATACTAGTTTTGTGCAACTATCCTGCTACATATTAATTTTTAATCCTTGTAATACTTAAATTTCTCCTGTGATGCGCTTACTTCATTTAATGAACGGTGCCAAAAACATTTCACGTGCTGTTATGCACAATTTGGGGGAAAGGAAGAATTAATACTATAATGATGATTAAACATCTGAAGGTATGCTAGCCAAGACTCGGTGCTTCAAGGTACCACACTTCTGCAAGTAATGATGGAATTTCAGTGACAAAACACCAGTGTACAAACAGGGTTTTTTTAAACATTATTTAGTTGATGGTGTCAAGCTAGTGAAATTAAAAGACTTATGGACTTCACTTGTGAAAATATCAGAAACAGTGGAAAAAGACAGTATTTTGCTTTCGCTACTGCACAGAAATAAGAATTAAATAAAGAAGCAGTGTTCTGTTGGAATTGTAGAAAACACAAAAATCATCCTAGCTATTGCTCACACAGGAAGAAAGAAACACAAAATAAGAGAGCTAAACACACTGATTTTTTGCTCAGATGTCAAATTCCTGCTGGCTTCCAGATCCGTTCTTTGACTGTTTCTATTCAAAGGATAACGGAAACAATGTCTGAAATTCCAAGCTCTGTGGACTGTAGCTACACATTGAAACGTGGTGCTAATCCAACAATACGAACACTAAAAACTTCTACATACTACAGATTAAATCTCTCTTTTTTTACACTTCTGAAGCCCTGGATTATGCTGCAGAATGTAACGCTATACATGGTCCTCGGAGACTGAGGAGTGTAAACGCTACAAGTTTTGCTTTTAAGTTTACAGAACTACATCACATCCTGGGGCACAAAACCTCAAAACCAACCCCAACCCACGAAACAAGAAACCTGTGTCAGATTTTCTCTCTAAGGAAGCCTTGTCCATTTCAACAAGCAATTAACTCCGACGGCTACAGATAACACCATCTTTCATTTTATACAGTCTGAACCTCAGACAACACACACAAATCCGACGCCGAGGGACTACTGGGATGGAGTGAGCCATGGGAAAGGACGCAGGCGACGGTGAAATCAGACGCTGTGAAGCTCTGAAGGAGACAGGTCCCAGAATAAACTTCCCCTCGTATTATCTGCCCACATCCAGATCCCTACAGCGCTGCTGAATCGCAGTTTTGCTCTTGAACAGATGACCCCTAGATGACACACATCAGAATCCAATATCAATACTTATCAATATTTTGTTGTTTCCTTGTTTGACCGTGCAAGCATCTGGTCAGAATGTTTTCTGCCCGTGTTGGAGTCCAAGCACTCTCTCCATGCCCCTTACCTCGTTGCCAAAACCGCGGTTTCTTCCTCTGCCCATCTCTATGGCACATTCAGAATGTTGCATTCATCATCGAAATACATGAAGTATTCAGATTAAATTAACTGAAAAACATTTCTATTTATAGGAAGTTTTTGTAGAAGATCCTAAGTGGAGAGAAAGGACAGGAAGGGATGACGATTGCTTTTATCTCAGAAATAGCACTCTCTCAGTGCTCTCTCACACATTTATATGTGAGAACATGGAATTTCTCCATACTCTTCAGACCTAGATGGATTTTAAAAGATTAGGTAAGTAAATTTTATTCTAAAAATAGCTTTTAATAAGCTTTTTTTTTTTCCCCTCTCCTCTTCCTTAAAATACTTCTGGGGGAAAAAAAAAGAAAAAAAAAAAGAGATAAATGAGTACATTCTTGACCTACTTCTCTGGCTTGTGAAGGAAGTTCTGTTTACCTGTAGCTTTTACTCCAATTAATTCTGTGAAAGCTCAAAAGGAACAAATTCTGAACTTTTGTCTGACTGAAGAACCCCCAGGACTCCCAGTTCCCTGGCAGCAGATGAAGCAGCAAGTCGTCTGTCCCTCTGGCTTACAGGATGGATGATGTTTTTTCTGCCTAAGCGTTCTTAGAAAGGGAAAAAATAATGGCAGCTAAACTTACCCTTTTACTTGATAGTAAAGACAAATTATTCAAAATAAATTATACAAAACCTATTTTCTAGAATGAGGGAATTAGGCTATTTTTCTGGAAAAGGAAATTTGTTCCTCTGATGAATTCTAAACACTGGGGCTTATAAAAAGAGAGACAAGAAACACATACAGGTACGTTTTCCTTTCTAATTGTCTACGGGCTTCCTCAAATACATACGCCTCCTTTGAAAGCTCTACTTCTGTTCTTCCTGCCTTCTTACTGGGATGCAACATTGACTTGAAACAGAATCTACACAATTCACAAAGCAGTTACAGTTTCCTGTGCTCCTACGAGTAAAGCAGGAGACTGGCAAAGGCAAATCTGAAACGGGTAAGAGGGAACACTTGTTACTAAATTTATATATAAAATAAATACTTAGTGGTAGTGACTTGTGTAATCCTGTCAAAGCTTGACAGGGTTCAAGCACAACTGGATGCTTGCAGACATAGGTTTTTCCACTTCTATTTACTGGACATTTATATAAATCTCAACTGTTGTTGTTTTTTGGTTTTGGGGTTTTTTTTAAACAGATAACCCATGGGCTATATGCATCAAAATACTGCATATAACCACCACCTTCTAGGTAACATTAGGAAGGAACAACTAAGTAACCTCATCTTTAAACACAGACTAATCAATAATTATTAAGACTTTAGACCCATTTGTCTAACGCACATAGCACCAGAAATTATCAGAAGGAAAGCACAGACCAGACTGTGTCCAGCGCTGAAGTTCAAGTTCCTTAGTCACAACTTTCTACCTTTCCAGATCAACACATCCAGTGCAAAATCTTCACGTGAAAATAGATATGGAAGACATCGTTTGGATTACAACCACAAAAAGTTACTGCTTCCATAT